GGCCTCGTGCAGTAATGGACACGTATGATCGGTGTGTTTCAACAAGGCATTTTGTAGAGAGTTTGTCAAACGTGGCAGTTTGTCCTGAAACAACAACGGTAATCTCCACATTTCAGCTCCTGACTGCAGCACAGGACGAGCAGCAGAGCGCCGTCTGTCTCACTGGTTTTACCGTCAGATGGAAAAATGCTGAAGCGAGCATTTGAGAAGCATGAAAGCAGTTTGTAATGAGCAGAGGTGCAGTGCAGGAGCTAACAGTGAGCCAAAGAGTGGACATGAGTGTAAACGACTGTCATCGGGGTAAAGGTGTTTCTCGCCCAGCTCGTTAATAAAAACGGACTGAAACAGGCCCCAACGTTGGATGAAGGTTCTGTTTTAATCCGAGTCTGCAGTAAACGGTTTTATGCACAGCAGACACTCGGCCCAACGTTAGCGCTGGACGTCTGCTGATTGGACTGTAAATGTAATAAAAGTTACATCAGCTGGTTTACTGACCAAAATCTGTAAAAGGACCGTTTTCCACGATTATCAGAAAGACTGTTAGTGTTTCAGTGATGGTGAAAGCATTAACACTGAGGCTTTAAAATGCAAATCAAATAGGTGACATCACATGCTTTATGCACTCATCTTTCAGATTTTGATCTGAGTGGCTCTGACAGTTCTTCAGAAACTCCTGCAGTCTCACAGAGAAAACCAGATGCAGTGAAATCTTACATCAAACACAGCAGCGACTCTAAAGTCGAGATTCCAGCAAAGACAGTCGTGCAGTCAAGAATGCAATAAATGTTTATGAGGTGACTAAATGAAATATGAAAGTCTTCCAAAATAACTGGCACCATCTCAGCTGTGATCCTGGCTGCACACTGTGTATAAAACACAAAAGGCTGTAAATGATGTTTATGAACTGAGCAGCATGATCCAGATCTGACCAGTTTCACTCAAACTTTAATGGATGGAGGCCTCGTGGTGTCAGCCAGAGCGCAAACTAAGAAAACTCTGGGGTCAGCGGCTGGAGGAGCTCTGAGGACACGACCAGCCTCACGAGCCGTCTGATTGGTGGTATCTGTGTTTGTGAGAGTTGTGATTGTTGGTAACCATCTAACACCGGGGAGAGCTTACAGAGCGAATTCTTCTCCCACGCTCAGATCGACCACAGAGCCTCTTTGTGTTTGGAGCTTTTTGATGTCATCGTGTGACCACAGAAGAAAACAGTGCTAGCTAAAGTGAAGTGAAGTTCAGCAGCAGAACGACATGTTCAGGAGAAATGATGGGAACATCTCAGGAGCCAGAGATGGAGCCACAATGTGCTCAGCATAGCTTAGCATAAAAGCACAGCTGTGCTTACAGAGGGACACCCCAACCGGCCTGTCTGCATTAAACGTTTTCTCTAATCAGGTGAAAATAACCCACCTGCACAGGGGGAGGAGCTTTCTCTAATTCACCTGTTTAAATTGTATTAAGGCTTAAAGTTTGCTTTATTAGGGCAGCTGCAGCTAACTGGAGTCCCTGAACTGGACCTCTGGGCTGTGTTTGGAGCTCATGTGATGTGGCAGATGATCAATAGTGGGTCAGCGACCCTCTAAAGCAGCGGTCCCCAACCCCCGGGCCTCGGACCGGTACCAGGCCGCGAGAGT